TTTTTAATTTTTTTTTCAACGTTTATTTATTTTTGCGACAGAGAGAGACAGAGCATGAACGGGGGAGGGGCAGAGAGAGAGGGAGACACAGAATCGGAAACAGGCTCCAGGCTCTGAGCCATCAGCCCAGAGCCCGACGCGGGGCTCGAACTCCCGGACTGCGAGATCGTGACCTGGCTGAAGTCGGACGCTTAACCGACAGCGCCGCCCAGGCGCCCCTGATCCTATATTCTATGCATCGTCTCCACAAATTTCCTTTTCTGGCCCTCACCGTGACCCTGTTATACACTTTGTGAAGTGTTAAGGGCCACAGGGTGTTGTTCTTACCACTCCTCTCTGCAGAGTTCAGGTGAGGCAACAAACCTGTGTCCTGCTGACCCCTCACCTGAAGGGTCCCACTGTATCCTGTCCTATATAAACGTGAATGCGTCACCCATCCCCAAAATCCCTGGCAAAATGCCTCGCCTGTCAACTGGAACCAGATGAAACGATCTAAATCGAGCCTGTCCTTTGCAGAAGAGATTTCCGACTTAACCGAGCAGATTGCAGAGACTGGCAAGAATCTGCAGGAAGTGGAAAAGACCAAGAAGCAGGTAGAGCAAGAAAAGTCAGACCTCCAGGTGGCCCTGGAGGAGGTGGAGGTAAGTGTCTGGGGCAAGACAGGAGAAGCTCGGGAGGGCGGGACCCTGAAGGAGGGGGGACTGACTAGACCATGACTTTGGGGCTGTCTCCTACCAGGAGATGCCAAGGCTTCATGGGAATTAACATCCAGCCATCCCCGGGGAAACAGCTGTGCTGTGTTTCTCCTCCCGGGGCCCCTCCAGCTCAGCTCATCACATCACATCTCCCCTTTTGAAAATAAATAAATGTGTTCATTATGCCCTCAGTGTCTTCCTCCCAGGAAGCAAGAATCCATCATCAAACATCCTGAGAGCTGTCTCAGAATTCCTCGGTTTTGACAGTCACACACAACCATCTTTGGCCACGGGGACTTCTGTAAAGGCAACATATAGGCTCAGTGTCCCGATGCCCTGATCAGTGTGGCCAGCGCAGGGCGGGTGGACAGTCGAGCTGCGTCTAGGGAAATTTGCATAACGCAGGACGACCGGAAAGCAATTACCCTGTCATTTTGGAGAATAAGTGGCCCCTGACTTATGGTCACTTAGAATAGACACACCCAATAAAGGTTTTACTAACTCAAAAAGATGCTCCGTCCTCCCCAGGACATAAAATTGTTAATGACAGATACAAAGTTTTAGTTCCAGTTTCATTACTGGGAGGGTCATTTGGGGGCAAATTGCGTGACCTCTGGCTCTCTGTAAAACGGGTAGAATAACACCCGTTTTCTCGTAATGGAGACGAAAACAGCCGTTTGAGAAGACAGCTGCCCACCCAGTCACCCGTCTCCTTTCATCAGGGTTCCCTGGAACACGAGGAGAGCAAGATCTTGCGCATCCAACTGGAGTTGAGCCAGGTGAAATCCGAGCTTGACCGCAGGGTCACTGAGAAGGACGAAGAAATCGAGCAGCTGAAAAGAAACAGCCAGCGGGCCGCAGAGGCCATGCAAAGCGTGCTGGATGCCGAAATCCGGAGCCGGAACGATGCCCTGAGGCTGAAAAAGAAGATGGAGGGAGACCTCAACGAGATGGAGATCCAGCTGGGCCATTCCAGCCGCCAGGTGGCAGAGACCCAGAAGCACCTGCACACCGTGCAGGGCCAGCTCAAGGTCAGCGCGCAGGCCCTGGCGGACCCGGGGGGCTCTCGGCCTGGGCTCCGGCCTCACGCCAGGTTTTCCCCGAAGGCTTCCCAGCTGCACCTGGATGACGCCCTGAGGAGCAACGAGGACCTCAAGGAGCAGCTGGCCATTGTGGAGCGCAGGAATGGCCTCTTGCTGGAGGAGCTGGAGGAGCTGAAGGCAGCCCTGGAGCAGACCGAGCGGACCCGCAGGCTGTCGGAGCAGGAGCTTCTGGACGCCAGCGACCGTGTGCAGCTCCTGAACTCGCAGGTACGTCCGTCCAGAGGGGCACGGGGGGGCAGGCAGGCCACCCATACAGTGGAAGGAAGCACCCTCCCTTCCTCCCAGACCAGCGGTCAAGAGCAAGTTGCCTTAAGCTTTCGTTCTTGGAATAAGTACGCTCCAGATGCCAGATTTCTGAGCTGTCTTTAAGCTGAAGATACAAGGTGATGCACGTTGTGGGGAAATCAGAGAAGGCAAGGATGAATTATTACATAACGGGACTGGAGGAGGAGACATCCAAGCCACAACCTTGGAAAATGAGAATTGTCTTTCAAAATAATTATGTTGTTACATTTGTAAAAGTTTCTTTAATTTCTTTGAGTTTACTTATTTATTTTTGAGAGACCAAGAGAGAGAGAGAGAGAATCCCAAGCAGGCTCTGCACTGTCAGCACAGAGCCCGATGCAGGGCTCAAACACGCAAACTGTGAGATCATGACCTGAGCCAAAATCACCAGTCGGCCGCTTACCCAACGGAGCCACCCAGGCACTCCAGGCACCCCTACCTTTATGAAAGTTTTTTTTTTAATTATTTGTTGCAAAGTATAGACAATACAAGCACATGAATAGAAGAAAAATAGCAGGGCGTCTGAGTGGCTCAGCCAGTTAAGCGTCTGACTTTGGCTCAGGTCATGATCTCATGGTCACGAGTTCAAGCCCCACATTTGGCTCTGTGCTGACAGCTCAGATCCTGGAGCCTGCTTCCGATTCTGTGTCTCCTTCTCTCTCTGTCCCTCACCCACTCATTCATTCTCTCTCTCTCTCTCTCAAAAATAAAACATTAAAAAAATTTTTAAAGAATTGTTTCACATTTTAGGGACACCTGGATGGCTTAGTTGATTAAGCATCCAACTCTTGATCTTGGCTGAGGTCATGATCTCACGGTTCATGAGTTTGAGCCCTGCATCAGGATTCTCTCTCTCTCTCTCTCTCTCTCTCTCTCTGTGCCCCTCCACCCCCCTCAAAAAAAAAAAACAAAAACAAAAACAAATTTCACATTTTATATACTTATGTCTACCCATCCTTTCTTTGTTCCAACACCTCTTACTGAATAATCTATTCTTCCTCATTTATGGGAAAATCTACTTGTATCATTTAACCAATTATTTTATGTGCAGTTCTTGCGTCTGTTTCAGGACCTTGTGTTCGGTCAAGAATAAAAGAGCATCCAGCAAATCCCCGTGTGGGAAATAAGAAACACGATCATGATATGTTTCCGTCCCCACCCAACTTTCTCCCTCTCGGTTATTTCGAGCGTCCAAATACAACCTATACCTCTGGCATCTGATTCTTTTTATAGAACACGAGCCTGATAAATACCAAGAAAAAACTGGAAGCCGACATAGCTCAGTGCCAGGCGGAGGTGGAGAACTCAATGCAGGAGTCCAGAAACGCAGAGGAGAAGGCCAAGAAGGCCATCACGGATGTGAGCTCCGTTCCTTCTTTTCAGAGCAAGTGCTTGGCTTGGTGGGGAAGGGGCTTCTAAGCCGAGACCAGGCAAGTGGGTTTTGTCTCCGGCTGACCTGCCGTCAGCAGAGGGAATGAGATGAAGCCTCCACAGAGACAACGTGGGGAGGTGCCTCGTGGTGCAGACTGAATGAGGGAGGCGGGACCAACACGCTCAGTATTGACCTTGACGGCATCCTCCCGGTGCGCCGGGTAGGGATGCCAGGTGGCCCACTGATACTTTCCATGCGCTTAATCAGGCGGCCATGATGGCCGAGGAGCTGAAGAAGGAGCAGGACACCAGCGCCCACCTGGAGCGGATGAAGAAGAACCTGGAGCAGACGGTGAAGGACCTTCAGCACCGTCTGGACGAGGCTGAGCAGCTGGCCCTGAAGGGCGGGAAGAAGCAGATCCAGAAACTGGAGAACCGGGTAGGGCGGGTAGGGCAGCGGCTGGAGAGGACTCTGGCTCTCCAAGTGATATCGGATTTCGCCACCTGGGGCACAGCCGCTGTCCAGACATTCGCTGCTTCCCACAGCCCAACACACAGCCCCACCCACTTTACAAGGCTTATGCCTGGGTAGCTTCGGGGTAATGACCCTTGCAAATGTTCATGTCCTGTTTTCATGGGAACTGGGACCCACAGAAATAAGGGGGAATATACTTCACATTCTTAAAATCACATATTTGGTGGGAGCCCCATTTGGGGCCAGCCTCCACTTTGGTGAGCAGTGGCCCGACCTACCTAAAGTCTATAGTGTCTCTTTACCTCTGGCTCCTGTTCCTTTCCAGCTCTCCCAGTCCCAACGCAGTCCAAAACACTGTGCTCCTTCCTAGACTGGCGCTCCCCCCACTCCCCTCCTCCCCCTCCCCCCTCCAATGCCCGCAGGAAAATTCACCTCCTTGCCCAAGGGAATCCTGCCGTTTCATTATCTGCGAACTTCTTTGTGTTTGTTTTCCTTTCTTTGCTAATTTCTCCGTTGGTTTCCTGTACCCATTGCTTCTCCTTTTAGACCTGTGAAGGTTCTTATTTCTTTTGTTTTGAAAATGGGCTCCACTACCAGTCGAAGTTCTGGAAAAGGGCTGGGGTTTGGGGGGAGTTTGTAGAAAGTCCCTGTTGTCCCAGAGGGAGGAAATGGAAACGTAGGTGGGGAAGGGCGGGAGGGGCTGGCAAAGGGAAGGAGATGACCTCTCCCAGCAGGGAAGGGCCTCAAATGCGGTCAGTCTTCATGCCAGCCTCCCAAGGATGTCACCAGCACGTACACGCTGTAAAAAGGAACTTTTGGCTAAAAACGAGGCAGCTGTGGACATGTGAGTAACAAAAGTCAACACCAGGGGGCGCCTAGGTGGCTCAGTCAGTTGAGCATTGGACTCTTGATTTCTGCTCAGGTTATGATCTCACGGTTTGTGAGTTCAAGCCCCGCATCAGGCTCTGCGCTAAGCGCTGTCCTCCAAAATTCTTTAAATGCTTCTTTTTAATTATTCCCAGTCATACAGTGTTAAGTGAATTTAGGTCTGTCCTTCTCACGGATCCCTCCACTGAGGGAGGGATTAGATCCCATGTCATCCTCCATGATTCTTTGATTCCTGGGTTGGCAGGGAGCCCTCCTCGGCCAGCCTCCCCTCGCACACGAGGCATCTCGACTGGCCTCCAAGATCAGCCACCCAGTTATCTTTAGTTCTGTAAACCTCGCAGAGGCCACAGGAGCACTGCCAGGAGCACTCACGTTTTGTAGAACCTAAAGCTTCCCAGAGCTTGCAGGGTGGCCAGGAGTCCCAGGGATCTGTTTTGGGACAGTGCCCAGAGTTACCCCGTTCCACTGGTGGATTTCAAGGTTGACCTGGTGAGTCCACAAGGCCTGAGCTGCCCCCGTCTGTGGCCGTCTGTGGGATTCCCGGGGACTGGCTGCCACGGTCCCTGGACTGTGGAGTCGGGGCTAGTTAGTGACCCGTGTTCTCAGTGGCTGACCTATCCTCTCAAGACTTCAGGAAAGGCAGAGGCAGCTATGAAATGAACAACACCTATGTAGCGCTTTATCAAACATACTTGCACATACTTTGATATTTTTTTAAGTTTAATTGAGAGAGAGAGAGAGACTCAGCACAGTGGGGGAGGGGCAGAGAGAGACGAGAAAGACAGAATGAATCCCAAGTAGGCTCCACACTGTTAGAACAGAGCCCGATGTGGGACTCGGTAAGATCATGACCCGAGAGGAAACCAAGAGTCGGACGCTTAACCAACTGAGCCACCCAGGTGCCCCTCGTTTGTCTAATTGATCCCCACATTTGAGGTAAGTGGGGAAGGAATTATAATGTCCATCCTAGACACATAAGAACTCATTCTCAGGAGCAGCCCCTGACCTGCTCAGCATCAATCAGCTGGACCAGGCCCTTCAACACACCCAGACCGTTCCTGGCCCAGGCTCTCACCATGACCCACACATTCTCATTAACCAGGAATCAGGGCCACCCCAGATGGTCGTTGCCAGCTTCGCCCGCGGGGACAAGTCGGGGCCAGAGCACAGGCCTCACCGGGCTGCTGGCCCCACAGAAAGAGGCGTCTTATGCAGAGCCCGGCTTGATAGCCCAGCCGTGTGCCCCTAAGAGCTGTCACTGCCCAAGGAGGACATCTTGCTATTGTTTGCACAAAGCCACTGCACAGACCGTGGTGGCCTTGTGACCAAAGTGTGGTTCCTGAGCGGGGTGCCTGGGTGCCTCAGTCAGTTGATCCTCTGACTTCGGCTCAGGTCGTGACCTCACGGATTGTGGGTTCGAGCCCCGCTCGGGCTCTGTGCTGACAGCTGGGAGCCTGGAGCCTGGAGGCTGCTTCGGATTCTGTGTCTCCCTCTCTCTCTGCCTCTTCCCTATTCACACGCGTGCTCTCTCTCTCTCTCTCAAAAATAAACATTTTTAAAAAATAACTAAAAATAAATTAAAAATATGGTTCCTGAGCATGAGGAGGAGACATTTTTACAAACTATCATCAGAGGATCCCGAGTTTGCCCGAAAATGCCCCCCACTCACACGTGTGCAGGAGAAGCACAGGGGCTCCGACCCGGATGCTGTGCTCTCTCCCCCCCAAACCCAGGTGCGGGAGCTGGAAAGTGAGCTGGACGCCGAGCAGAAGAGGGGGGCCGAAGCTCTGAAGGGGGCTCACAAATATGAGCGCAAAGTCAAGGAAATGACGTACCAGGTAAGGGGCTCCAAAGCCTCCGCGAGCGCCAGCCCCCTCGGGAGCAGAGGAGGGTCTGGGGGACCCTGGCACGGCGCTGTGTTCGCAGGCTGAGGAGGACCGCAAGAACATCCTTAGGCTCCAGGACCTGGTGGACAAGCTTCAGGCCAAAGTGAAGGCGTACAAGAGGCAGGCCGAGGAGGCTGTGAGTAGGGGGGCCCCAGCACCCCCAGCCCAGGGCCACGTCCACGGATCCAGAGGCCTGGGGTTTTACTTGTAGGCTGCTGACTCAGGGACACCTGCCCTTCCTCCCTCCCCTGGTTTGTGTCAAACAAGCCTGTCCCCCAAACCCCAGCTGCACCTCCTGGGTGCCTCCCGCCTCAGTCTCGTGGCCAGCCCCCTCATTTTATCCCCTATCCCCACCCTGCCGGCCTCACTTTGCCCTGACACTCCAGCCAGCTCAGCATACCCCACAGCCTCACCTTAAACCCCCCTACCCTGGTTCACGGCATCTCCCCTTGCCCCCATCCCTGGTCCCCAGGGCCTTATCCTTCCTGCCCTCTCTAATTGCCACCCACCACCCTGATCGGATAGACCTAAGGGAAGTTACTAGCAGGAACCTTCGGGGGGGGGGG